CTTTTCCCTTTAATTTCAATGCGTTGAAAATGCTGACACAGCTTTTTCTCAAGTTGGGACAGTCCCAGAGCAATGTCAGAATGGATCCCAGTCTTACTTCTTAAGGTAAAGGCTGTCAGTGGCATCTTTGAAACCTCACCTTCCCTTCTTCGATTGAAAATGATGACCTCACAAAGAGTCAAAACTGCCAGTTTAGACCAATGCTTAGACGTTGGCTCACTTATTAGGGTTTGCACATATTCAGGTCGACATACCTCAATATGTGCATGCATGGCTCTAACGTCCTCAGTCAGAGGGAGCAGGTCCGGAGTGTTCCACTTGGCTTGCCGGAGGGTCTGTAGGGCAGCAGAAGAAACACAGACGTCCCACCTCTTCTCAAAAAGCAGCCGGCTTCGTTGGAGGTTTTTAATAAATAGTTCATCAACACAATGCTCCATTTTTGAGTCACATTCAAGAATATCTGCTAGCTTTCTGAGGCTATGGCCGAGTTTGAGGGCCAAGGATGGAGTCTTGTATTGATTTGTTTCCTCATCATATCCAGCCACAGACCTGACTGCATCAATCACATGGTTAAAGTTGGAAGGAATAAAGAAATCCTTAATTGTTTTCAGTTTCCCTGCGGTTTTTGCTTCGTTAATTAACCTACCGACTTCTCTCATTTTCTGCCTAATGTAATCATGCTTAGTCTTATCATGCCCGTGTTTTAAGTACAGGTGCTCTCCGAGTCTCAGAATCCCCTTTTCTGCTTTGACAACACCCGTGACCTCATCCTGATGCATTGCCGAAATTAAAGACCACAGCTTTTTGCTGATGCCCTCCGGTACAGGCTGGGCTAGGGAGCAGAGGGACTGGACCCTACTTCTACCTGGTTTAGCCTGGGCATCTTTCTGTGAAAGCCGGCACCTGGCCACATGCCTCCACAGCGACTTTCGCTTAAGCAATGCCCCACAGTCTATACAGTGCAAAAACTCACTGGATTTAACTGGGGAATTTGGCTGTTTAGCTGGGACTAAAGTTCCAATGCCGGCCTTTAAAACCTCAAAATTGTGCTCACGGTTTCCACTATTCCTGATCAAATCAAACTGAAGTTTACGTGCTTTAGATTTCACAGGTAGAGCCAATGCTCTGGCTACGTCACTTTCATTTCCATGTTTTCTAGTCAAATGACGGGACATTTTGTGGCAGGACATTGAACAGTAGAGGCAGAAGTGTCTCTTGCTGTATACTCGCCCCCCATTTTTCTTCTTTTGCAGCTGCATGATAACAATCTTATTTGCCTTTGGTTCGTCACTTTCCGAGTCTTGAAGAAAAGTGTTTTTGATTTTTCTTTTTCCATACTTTTTTACAGGTTTCTTCTTGACAGTTAAATCGTCAGAATCTGAGTCGACTTCATCAATTAGGGACTCTTGACTAAGCTGCACAAACAACAAATAATTTGTAATCATTCTATATAACAATTTGAAGTCATGACTTGTAGTCAGCACTTACCAGTGGTTTGTAAGCGTGCGCTTCAGTGTGCTCCTCCATGATTTCTTGCAGCCTAATGAACCACACACTTGCACCTTTTTCTAGCCTGACACCTGATTTCCTCTGTTGTGCTGCTCCATGATTGGCTCCAGCCTGCTGGACTGAAATTGCCCCAGTGTGCCCCTCCTTGATATCCCGCAACCCACCACCAGGGTTCCGACACATAACACACTTTTTTCAGGAAAGTAAACCTCCAGGGGTCCTTTCCATATTTTTACAGAGACTGCATAAGGACCGTTAGAAAAGCATTACCCATTGATTATTAAGCTTGGACCAGTGGGGTCCGGTGTTCGGGCCCCACCACGTAAAACCAGTCCCCATGACGTGAGTGGAATCTCAGGTTATGGAACCCACCAGGAGTTGAAAACAAGTGCACAGATACACACAGACAGACACACACAGACACACACACACTCAGACACACACACACACTCACACACACACACACACACAGACACACACACACACTCAGAGACACACACACACACACACACACACACACACACACACACACACACACACACACAGACACACACACACACAGACACACACACACACACACACACACACAGACACACACACACACACACACACACACACACACAGACACACACACACACACACTCACACACACACACACACAGACACACACACACACACACTCACAGACACACACACACACTCACAGACACACACACACACACACACACACACAGACACACACACACACACACACACACACACACACACAGACACACACACACACTCAGAGACACACACACACACACAGACACACACACACACTCAGAGACACACACACACACACACTCACACACACACACACACAGACACACACACACAGACACACACACACACACACACACACACTCAGAGACACACACACACACACACACACACACAGACACACACACACACACACACTCACACACACACACACACACACACACACACACACACACACACACACACACACAGACACACACACACACTCAGAGACACACACACACACACACACACACACAGACACACACACACACACACACAGACACACACACACACACACAGACACACATAAATAGATATATTGTGTGTTGTGTGCAGGTATCAGTCGTCTGCAGCGGTGGGAGAGAGCTCAGCTCCACGGTCTGCACCCTCCACAGGAGATCAGAGAACTACTGCTGCAGACTGACCAGCACGAGCCCGAGCTCAGAGAGAGGTGAGGGACCACAGAGAGACCAGAGAGAGACCAGAGAGACACCAGAGAGAGACCAGAGAGAGACCAGAGAGAGACCAGAGAGAGACCAGAGAGAGACCAGAGAGACACCAGAGAGAGAGACCAGAGAGACACCAGAGAGAGAGAGAGAGACCAGAGAGACACCAGAGAGAGACCAGAGAGAGACCAGAGAGACACCAGAGAGAGAGACCAGAGAGACACCAGAGAGAGAGACCAGAGAGACACCAGAGAGAGAGACCAGAGAGAGACCAGAGAGAGACCAGAGAGACACCAGAGAGAGACCAGAGAGAGACCAGAGAGAGACCAGAGAGAGACCAGAGAGAGACCAGAGAGAGAGAGACCAGAGAGAGACACCAGAGAGAGACCAGAGGGAGACCAGAGGGAGACCAGAGAGAGACCAGAGAGAGCCCAGAGAGAGACCAGAGAGAGACCAGAGAGAGACACCAGAGAGAGACCAGAGGGAGACCAGAGAGAGACCAGAGAGAGACCAGAGAGAGACCAGAGAGAGACCAGAGAGAGACCAGAGAGAGACCAGAGGGAGACCAGAGAGAGACCAGAGAGAGACCAGAGAGACACCAGAGAGAGACCAGAGGGAGACCAGAGAGAGACCAGAGAGAGACCAGAGAGAGCCCAGAGAGAGACCAGAGAGAGACCAGAGAGACTAGAGAGAGAGACCAGAGAGAGACCAGAGAGAGACCAGAGGGAGACCAGAGAGAGACCAGAGAGAGACACCAGAGAGAGACCAGAGAGAGACCAGAGAGAGACTAGAGAGGGAGACCAGAGAGAGACCAGAGAGAGACCAGAGGGAGACCAGAGAGAGACCAGAGAGAGACACCAGAGAGAGACCAGAGAGAGACCAGAGAGAGACTAGAGAGGGAGACCAGAGAGAGACCAGAGAGAGATGTGACAGAGGCCAAACATACATAGATGTGAAACCCAGTGTGGGAGTAGCTTTTACATTTAAAGTTCTTGTGTTTTTAAATTCAGGTACCTGAGCTTTAAGGTGTATCCTAAATTGTATCACTTTAAAAACAGCCGCTGTAGTTCCTCTGGTTTCGTTCTGAAGGCTTTGGTTTGGTGTTTTTCAGCTTGTGGCGCGAGTATCCGCTGTGAACGGAGACGACCGAGACACACGTTTCCAGAACCATCTACACTATGGACTCGATCTGTAACAGTGAAACATATTTGACTACATTGCTAATAATGTAACACTACATCATGCACATTTATAACAGAGGCAAAGGTTTTGGTCATTTAAGGTTTTAAACTTCCTCTTGAATCTCTATTACTTCTTTCCCATATGGTACTTGATGGTATTTAGTCTCAAACCCTATTCTCACAGGACCAGTTTTACCTGTGGATCTTTGGGTGTGTGATAATTGTAGAGGTTAATCTCTGGTCTCTCTCTGGTCTCTCTCTGGTCTCTGGGCTCTCTCTGGTCTCTCTCTGGTCTCTGGGCTCTCTCTGGTCTCTCTCTGGTCTCTCTCTGGTCTCTCTCTAGTCTCTCTCTGGTCTCTCTCTGGTCTCTCTCTGGTCTCTCTCTGGTCTCTCTCTGGTCTCTCTTTCTTTGGCCACTCTCTCTTTGGTCTCTCTTTCTTTGGCCACTCTCTCTTTGGTCTCTCTGGTCTCTCTTTCTTTGACCACTCTCTCTCTCTGGTTTCTCTCTGGTCTCTCTCTGGTCTCTCTCTTTGGTCTCTCTGGTCTCTCTTTCTTTGACCCATCTCTCTCTGGTCTCTCTCTGGTCTCTCTCTTTGGTCTCTCTGGTCTCTCTCTCTGGTCTCTCTCTTTGGTCTCTCTGGTCTCTCTCTCTGGTCTCTCTCTGGTCTCTCTCTGGTCTCTCTATGGTCTCTCTCTGGTCTCTCTCTGGTCTCTCTCTCTGGTCTCTCTCTGGTCTCTCTCTGGTCCCTCTCTGGTCTCTCTCTGGTCTCTCTCTGGTCCCTCTCTGGTCTCTCTCTGGTCTCTCTCTGGTCTCTCTCTGGTCTCTCTCTGGTCCCTCTCTGGTCTCTCTCTGGTCTCTCTCTCTGGGTTTACCACCTGTTTTGGGCTGCATTCCCTACCATCCCAACTCTGATCAGTCCGGACCCTGGTGCTGCAGGCGTCCATTGTATCTGTTCACATGTCTTTGATGTTCTAAGGTTGAAACCTGCTCTTTTAATGTTTTTTTCTTACATATATCCTAGATATTTATCTTCCTTTTATCAGAACTGCTGTTTGTTAGTGGGAGCTTAGCAATGCTTTTAAGTGTGTGTTTGGGTGATCATTGTAATGTCTTCAAAATGTTGGTTTTTAACTTATTTTCAAATAAATATTCTAAAAAAGTAGAAAAACTTTTGTAACCAATTTACAATTTCAATGTATGTTTACAAATGTATTTTCTATTTCATATTTGTCAACTTGAGAGCAGCCGTCCTCCTGTGGACTCACCACCTGCAGAGGGTCAGTGAGGGGCTGGTGCATCTCTGACTGCCACCCTCCTGACCCAGAAATGGATTAAAGGGAAGAAAATGGATGGATATTTGTAAACTCAAAATACAGTGGGAAAGATGTTAGAACTATATAAGATTAACGTAGAGCCTTTTTGTACACACAATTCGAAGCATTAATCATTCACTTCACACACGGTTGTGTTAATCCAACCGTTCACACACACACACACACACTCAATCTCATGTGGGGGAAGGTGAAGTGTCTTGCCTAAGGACACAACCACAGTTTGGCACTTTGCAGCCGCCCCACTGTGGCACCTGGTGTTCCCCGACGTCTCCCATCACAGCACTAACCAGGCCCTGCCCTGCCTAGCTTCAGAGGTCTGACAGGCTCTAACTTTAACCTGCAGGTGGCGTCAATATATAAGCCATGGGAGGCAAGCGCAGAAACAATCAAACACAAATTAATTAAACGTTTCTATGACATAAGCAGAACTGGAAATATGGCAGAATAACATAGGAAAACATTTAATTAAAACATATAGTTGTTGGAGAATTTCAGCTCTAGGAAACAATGGCACAGTCTCAGAATCTATAAAGTTAATACATGCTTTTTTGCCTCAGTATAATCTCAATTAATATTCCTTAACATGATGTATTTATAATTACGTATTATAAACATTGCGGCTTGGTTGGGAGTGGACTAATAAAACCCCATTGGCCTAACGCTCATGTCAATCATAAATACTGCCCTCTGATTGGCTTGCTTCCACATATGCTCAGCCAAGTACCGTTAATCATTCCGTTTCTGCGCAGCGCTGTCAAGCTAGCGACAGTTAGCACCGCGAAGTAAAAATGCAACGACAAAAACACACATTTTAGCTATCAACCTCACAGCCGTGATATTTAAAATGTATATTATATTGTTTAATTTCATGTTTAAGTGTTTTTTCCACATACATATTCGTTTAAAATTGATAGAATATGGTAAAAACTAGTTACCGGAAGTGGCAGCTTGTTGCAATTTCGGCAACTAGGCAGTCTGGGTAATGTAGTCCATCGTAGCGTTACTTGTAAAAGCCGGGATAACGTTAGCATTTTGACAGGGCAAAATAGCTAGAGTTTTTCGTGTTAATATCTGCCTTAAAAAGTTATTATTATTATTAATTATTATGCTTTTTTTTTTTATAATTTAGCACATTTGAGCCGTGGGATGTGGAGTCGTTGGGTCACAGTCTGTTAAAGAGTTCACTGAATAATATTATTGCCCCCAACGCAGTGTCATCTCGCCTCTCTGGACCATTCATCCCACATGGTGCACTGACGTAGACCGTGTTTCAGAGTCTAAAACTGAGAGAGAAGACGACACATCCACACAAGTCTGGTAAGAAGCAGCCTGTTCTTCCGCCGCTAACAACAGGATTAATGTAAGTGCCTCCAGCAGCAGCAGTGGCTAGTGCTAGCTTTAGCCCCACGTTTTTTTTACATACTGTACCACTGTTTATCCACGTTTTCAGGTGTCAACGGCCTCATCCTCGCTGCTAAATGTGTGGCAGAGCTATGTACGCAGTTGAGATTGAAATCAAAGGTCGTTGGGCTTGGTGGGTCTGGCTAAGATAAGCTGTTTTGCTATTTGACAGGTCATTTTATATATATACTGTCAATGGAGTCCAAGTAATATTATGCAATGTTTTCGGCTCCTTAAAGCTGGGGGACCTAAATTTTAAAATGCGCAAATAATGAACTATGTAATAAAATCATTCTAGTAATAGTTTCGCTCTCAAAAAACAGGTTGGTTCTATCACTGTTGTTTTCACATCTGTCACATCAGCTTTTTTAAGACAGAAAAGCGACAATTTGGCCCAGAGCGTCGAATAGTGACTCTCATGTGTCGAATAGTGACTCTCATGTGTCGAATAGTGACTCTCATGTGTCGAATAGTGACTCTCATGTGTGGAATAGTGACTCTCATGTGTGGAATGGCATGTTTGTAGTGAGAGGAAGACAGCGGGTTGCGACTCTATCGGATAAGCACTATGTATTTATGAAACTATTGAAGTTGGATATCCCAGCAGATAATTTAGGTTACAATAACTGTCAGAAGAGAGAGAGAGAGCAAGAGAGAGCAGAGGGAGAGAGAGAGAGCAGAGGGAGAGAGAGCAGAGGGGGAGAGCAGAGAAGGGGAGAGAGAGAGAGAGAGCAGAGGGAGAGAGAGAGCAAGAGAGAGAACAGAGGGGGAGGGAGAAAGAGAGAGAGGGAGCAGAAGGGGAGAGAGAGCAGAGAGTAAGAGCAGAGCGAGAGACAGAGCGACGTGAGAGAGACCAGAGAAAGACAGCGGTTTGTGACTCTTGGAGCAGGAGAGAGAGAGAGAGAGCAGAGAGTGAGAGAACAGCGGGAGAGGTAGAGAGAGAGCAGAGCGAGAGACTAAGGAGGAAGAGCAGAGAGCGACGAGAGAAAGAGAGACCAGAGAAAGACAGCGGTTTGTGACTCTTGGAGCAGGAGAGAGAGAGAGTAGAGAAGGGGAGAGAGAGGAGAGAACAGGGGGAGAGAGAGGAAGAGAGAGAAGAGAGGGAGAACAGAACAGAGCAGGAGAGGGAGAGAACAGCAGGCGAGAGAGATGAAGGAGAGAGCAGAGAGGGAGGGGGAGAGATACCAGAGAAACCAGAAAGAGAGAGAGACCAGAGATGGAGATGGAGAAAGAGACCAGAGAGGCTTTCTGTATCATGTGAATTGGTCGAGGAATAACATGGATTATCTTCAATGTCAAGACCAGAGATGATGCTTTTCCTGGTCTGCCTCTGTCACAATGTTGTGATGTCACATGAACCCTGAAGCAGATCTGAGTGACTCTCTCCCTGTGGACTGGCCTTATATTCTGTGATCTCATGAGGCCTTCTGTTACCTGGCTCTGTGCTGAGCCTGGTCCCCTGCTGCTGCTGCTGCTGCTGCTGCTGCTGCTGTTTTTAGGTCATGTCCCTTGCTGATGTCACATTTCAGTCAATAGGAGTTTGGTGAGAGCTCTGCTGCTGTTGCTGCTGCTGTTGCTGCTGCTGTTGCTGCTGCTGTTGCTGCTGCTGTTGTTGCTGCTGCTGTTGCTTGAAACATCATCAGTTCTTTCACTGTGGAATTAAACTGGATACGGCGTCAAGAGATCAACTTTATTGTCCCCAAGGGAAATTTACTGTGGGATCTAAAGCCCTATTTCTACTCTACCCTACTCTACTCTACTCTACTCTACTCTACTCTACTCTACTCTACTCTACTCTACTCTACTCTACCCTACTCTACTCTACCCTACTCTACTCTACCCTACTCTACTCTACTCTACTCTACTCTACCCTACTCTACTCTACTCTACCCTACTCTACCCTACCATACTCTACCCTACCCTACTCTACCCTACCCTACCCTACCATACTCTACCCTACTCTACTCTACCCTACTCTACCCTACCCTACCCTACCCTACTCTACCCTACTCTACCCTACCCTACTCTACTCTACTCTACCCTACTCTACTCTACCCTACTCTACTCTACTCTACTAAACTGGGTATCCTACATCACTACAATACCAACAGTCACACCAAGAAAGCGCCATGTAACGCTCTGAACCAATGAGAAGCCGGGAAACTCATGCGCTGTTCAGACGGAGACGCTGTGACAGTAAAACAATAGTTAAATGGCATTGGCTTTTCGTTTCCATGGAGACGGCGTTTCAGGTGCAAACGTTGAGAAACAGCCTCCAGAGAGGAACAGAACAGAGAGGGGGTTGTTCTGTTCTCTGCTGCTCTGACCTCAGCCCTTCCCTCACGTACATTTGGACGCAGTAGAACGTAAACAACAATGGCGGCGGGTTGGCTAATGCTACTTGTGATTCGCCATCGTCCAAACCACAGCTGCTCTCTGATCTTTCCCCGGTCTCTCTCTCTGGTTTCTCTCTCTGGTCTCTCTCTCTGGTCTCTCTCTCTGGTCTCTCTCTCTGGTCTCTCTCTCTGGTCTCTCTCTCTGGTCTCTCTCTCTGGTCTGTTTCTGGTCTGTTTCTCTCTGGTCTTTCTCTCTGTGGTCTCTCTCTCTGGTCTCTTTCTAGTCTCTCTCTGGTCTGTTTCTGGTCTCTTTCTCTCTGGTCTCTCTCTCTGTGGTCTCTCTCTGTGGTCTCTCTCTCTGGTCTCTCTCTGGTCTCTCTCTGGTCTCTCTCTGGTCTCTCTCTCTGGTCTCTCTCTCTGGTCTCTCTCTCTGGTCTCTCTCTCTGGTCTCTCTCTCTGGTCTCTCTCTCTGGTCTCTCTCTATGGTCTCTCTCTATGGTCTCTCTCTATGGTCTCTCTCTATGGTCTCTCTCTCTGGTCTCTCTCTCTGGTCTCTCTCTCTGGTCTCTCTCTCTGGTCTCTCTCTATGGTCTCTCTCTATGGTCTCTCTCTATGGTCTCTCTGTGGTCTCTCTCTCTGGTCTCTCTCTGGTCTCTCTCTCTGGTCTCTCTCTGGTCTCTCTCTGGTCTCTCTCTCTGGTCTCTCTATGGTCTCTCTCTATGGTCTCTCTCTCTCTCTCTCTGGTCTCTCTCTCTGGTCTCTCTCTGGTCTGGTCTCTCTATGGTCTCTCTCTATGGTCTCTCTCTGTGGTCTCTCTCTGTGGTCTCTCTCTCTGGTCTCTCTCTGGTCTCTAGTTTCCATTTTCACTACTGCTGTTAAAGAATGTTATTGGTTCTCTTTGTCCTGAGGAGGATGTTGTTGAAGTTGATATACTGCTTGGGGCTGTGTGTGTCGTGTTGTATAGTTCCTCTGCCCCCTACTGGCCGCAAGCCAGAACTACAAATACAGAGCCTGGTTTTATTGAGCCAATGAAACGTTCCGACACAGTTCCTTCGCAGAGACACAGACAGGGTATCTTCAGTGTGTGATGTTGTGTGTCTGTGTGTGATGTTGTGTGTCTGTGTTGCAGTGATGGATAACGCACACACAAAGACGGTGGAGGAGGTTCTGGGACACTTCGGAGTCAACGAGTCCACGGGTCTCAGCTGTGAGCAGCTCAAGAAGAACAGGGAGAGATGGGGCTCCAACGGTGACACTGCTCTCATCTCTCTCTGGTCTCTCTCTCTCTGGTCTCTCTCTCTCTGGTCTCTCTCTCTCTGGTCTCTCTCTCTCTGGTCTCTCTCTCTGGTCACTCTCTCTCTCTGGTCTCGCTCTGGTTCCTCTCTCTCTGGCCCTCTCTCTCTCTGGCCTCTCTCTCTCTGGCCTCTCTCTCTCTGGCCTCTCTCTCTCTGGCCTCTCTCTCTCTGGCCTCTCTCTCTCTGGCCTCTCTCTCTCTGGCCTCTCTCTCTCTGGCCTCTCTCTCTCTGGCCGGCCTCTCTCTCTGGCCTCTCTCTCTGGCCTCTCTCTCTCTGGCCTCTCTCTCTCTGGCCTCTCTCTCTCTGGCCTCTCTCTCTCTGGCCTCTCTCTCTCTGGCCTCTCTCTCTCTCTGGCCTCTCTCTCTCTGGCCTCTCTCTCTCTGGCCTCTCTCTCTCTGGCCTCTCTCTCTGGCCTCTCTCTCTCTGGCCTCTCTCTCTCTGGCCTCTCTCTCTCTGGCCTCTCTCTCTCTGGCCTCTCTCTCTCTCTGGCCTCTCTCTCTCTCTGGCCTCTCTCTCTCTCTGGCCTCTCTCTCTCTCTGGCTCTCTCTCTCTCTGGCCTCTCTCTCTCTCTGGCCTCTCTCTCTCTGGCCTCTCTCTGGTCTCTCTGGTTTATTTCTCTCTCTGGGCTCATCACACACTGCTCCACTTTTGGTGTTGCTGTTGTAGCCACAGATGCCCAGAGGCACACAGACCAGACTTGGCACAATAGTGTTATATTATAATATTATTATGTTTGATACTAAAACCTCTCTCCCCTCTCTCCCCCCTCTCCCCCTCCCCCCCTCTCCCCCACAGAGCTACCGGCTGAAGAAGGTGAGCTCCTCCTCTTATACTTTTGTGGTGTTTCATGTTTAGTTTTGTGTCTTGAACGTGTTTTGTTTGAATCCTCAGGAAAGTCTCTGTGGGAGCTGGTCCTGGAGCAGTTTGAGGACCTGTTGGTCCGGATCCTTCTGCTCGCCGCCTGCATCTCATTCGTAAGTCTCATAATCACACTACAACTGTCGGAGCAGTCGATCTGACGGCTTTTACTTCTGGAAGTGTAATTACTGGGTCCTACAAACTTTGACTGGTGTGGTCCTGGTGTGGTCCTGGTGTGGTCCTGGTGTGGTCCTGGTGTGGTCCTGGTGTGGTCCTGGTGTGGTCCTGGTGTGGTCCTGGTGTGGTCCTGGTGTGGTCCTGGTGTGGTCCTGGTTTGGGCCTGGTTTGGGCCTGGTTTTGGGCCTGGTTTGGGCCTGGTTTGGGCCTGGTTTGGGCCTGGTTTGGTCCTGGTTTGGTCCTGGTTTGGTCCTGGTTTGGTCCTGGTTTTGGTCCTGGTTTGGTCCTGGTTTGGTCCTGGTTTGGTTGGCCTGGTTTGGTCCTGGTTTGGGCCTGGTTTGGGCCTGGTTTGGGCCTGGTTTGGGCCTGGTTTGGGCCTGGTTTGGGCCTGGTTTGGGCCTGGTTTGGGCCTGGTTTGGGCCTGGTTTGGGCCTGGTTTGGTCCAGTGTGGTCCTGGTGTAAATCTGCTTAGTGGACTGCAGTAACCATGGCAACCTTAAAGGGCCTGAACCTGACCTACACGCCCTGTTCTCTGAGTGTGTGGTAGACTGAGGCTGTAGACCCAGGACTGAGGCTGTAGACCCAGGACTGAGGCTGTAGACCCAGGACTGAGGCTGTAGACCCAGGACTGAGGCTGTAGACCCAGGACTGAGGCTGTAGACCCAGGACTGAGGCTGTAGACCCAGGACTGAGGCTGTAGACCCAGGACTGAGGCTGTAGACCCAGGACTGAGGCTGTAGACCCAGGACTGGTTTGGTCCTGGTTTGGTCCTGGTGTGGTCCTGGTGTGGTCCTGGTGTGGTCCTGGTGTGGTCCTGGTGTGGTCCTGGTGTGGTCCTGGTGTGGTCCTGGTTTGGTTTTGTTACGTGGGCATTTGTTTAGAGGGCAGTAGCGTGTAACGGGCAGACGTGTTGCTAAGACGGTTGCTAAGGCAAGCTGGAGTTTACTCCGGGAAAAAAGGCATCTGATTGGTCGATCCTTATATGGTTCATATCTGGATTTAGAAAAACATCACATTTTAACACTAGGATCACAGAGAAACCACAGATTTTAGCTCAAAAAGTTACTGAGTTAGAGGCGTTTACTTTAACATGAAGTCGATACGAGGAAGACTTGGTCAGGCTTCTTTGAGCTAGCATGTTAGCATTGTCCATCTGTACAGTCTGTGTGTGTCCTTTTGGTCTCTCCTGGATTTCCCTCTGGTCTCTTGCTTCCTGGTCTCTCTCTGGTCTCTCTCTGGTCTCTCTCTCTCTGGTCTCTCTCTGGTCTCTCTCTGGTCTCTCTGGTCTCAATGGTCTCTCCCTGATCTCTCTCTGGTCTCTCACTTTCTGCTCTGTCTCTCCCTGATCTCTCTCTGGTCTCTCACTTTCTGCTCTGTCTCTCTCTGCTCTCTCTCTCTCTGGTCTCTCACTTTCTGCTCTGTCTCTCTCTAGTCTCTCTCTGGTCCTCTTCCTTATTGAGCTACATTGAGCTAGCATGTTAGCATGGTCCCTCTGTCTACAGTCTCTTGACTCTCTCTGTTGTGCAGACGTTGGCCTGGTTCGAGGAGGGCGAGGGGACCATCACAGCCTTCGTGGAGCCGTTTGTGATCCTCCTCATCCTGATCGCTAATGCCATCGTGGGAGTGTGGCAGGTGAGTGATGAGACTGGAACAAACCAGTGGAAAGTTTCTGATCCAAGACTCTTGGATCTGTAAATCTGCTTAGTGGACTGCAGTAACCATGGCAACCTTAAAGGGCCTGAACCTGACCTACACGCCCTGTTCTCTGAGTGTGTGGTAGACTGAGGCTGTAGACCCAGGACTGAGGCTGTAGACCCAGGACTGAGGCTGTAGACCCAGGACTGAGGCTGTAGACCCAGGACTGAGGCTGTAGACCCAGGACTGAGGCTGTAGACCCAGGACTGAGGCTGTAGACCCAGGACTGAGGCTTTGGTAGACCCAGGACCGAGGCTTTGGTAGACCCAGGACCGAGGCTTTGGTAGACCCAGGACTGAGGCTTTGGTAGACCCAGGACTGAGGCTTTGGTAGACCCAGGACTGAGGCTTTGGTAGACCCAGGACTGAGGCTTTGGTAGACCCAGGACCGAGGCTTTGGTAGACCCAGGACCGAGGCTTTGGTAGACCCAGGACTGAGGCTTTGGTAGACCCAGGACTGAGGCTTTGGTAGACCCAGGACTGAGGCTTTGGTAGACCCAGGACTGAGGCTTTGGTAGACCCAGGACTGAGGCTTTGGTAGACCCAGGACTGAGGCTTTGGTAGACCCAGGACTGAGGCTTTGGTAGACCCAGGACTGAGGCTTTGGTAGACCCAGGACTGAGGCTTTGGTAGACCCAGGACTGAGGCTGTATGGTGCTCTGCAGGAGCGGAACGCAGAGAATGCCATCGAGGCTCTGAAAGAGTATGAACCTGAGATGGGGAAAGTCTATCGTCAGGACAAGAAGAGCGTCCAGAGGATCCGAGCCCGAGACATCGTCCCTGGAGACATCGTGGAGGTGGCAGGTGAGCACATTGAACTGTTTAGTCTCTCTTTAGTCTCGCTCTGGTCTCTCTCTCTGGTCTCTCTCTCTGGTCTCTCTCCTTAGTCTCTCTCTGGTCTCTCTCCTTAGTCTCTCTCTGGTCTCTCTTTAGTCTCTCTCCTTAGTCTCTCTCTGGTCTCTCTTTAGTCTCTCTCCTTAGTCTCTCTCTGGTCTCTCTTTAGTCTCTCTCCTTAGTCTCTCTCTGGTCTCTCTTTAGTCTCTCTCCTTAGTCTCTCTGGTCTCTCTCTGGTCTCTCTTTGGTCTCTCTCTGGTCTCTCTTTGGTCTCTCTCTTTAGTCTCTCTTTGGTCTCTCTCTTTAGTCTCTCTCTGGTCTCTCTCTGGTCTCCGGCTTTATTTGCCAGTGAATGCAGGGCTTTTGACAGCTGCAGCAGCGCTCAGACCTACAACCAACTGGTTTGAGGTCTTTAAGTGACTCCATCTGGTCCCACTTCCCTGTTTTCTGAGCCCATGATCCAGTGCCCTGGTCCAGATCAGCTTCTGGACCCTGGGAACACACAGAGGAACCGCATTTTTAGACCAGTTATTTTTACCACCGCTTTTTTTAGCTCTTGTTTGTGTTCGAGCTCAGACAGGAAGTTCTCTGAATATGTTTTATTGCTTTTTGTCCTTTTTTTGAGCATTCTCAGACCATTGTAGACCAGTCCCGGTTTGAGGCTTAAAGGCGCTGTACCCGTTTCTGCAAGGTTTGAATGTTTAGCACCGCCCCCAACTCACTCAATGGCTTCTCATTTCCCCCACGCTCTCAGAACACAGAGCCGTCTAGCTCAATTTGCGATCTGACACTTATGCTAACATTAGCATTAGCGCAACTTCTTGTAAGCTCAACAATCACTGATGAAATGGTACTAAAGCAACGCACTGCTAACACAATATATAGGTAAAAGAATACCATTAGTTTCGCACCCGAATTTATTCATTAAAACATCAGAATATATTTGAGTAATTAATTATAATTTATTATACAGCTCCTCACAGCAGCAGTAGAACACTCCATTGACTTGAATGTAATTCTACCGATCATTTTTTATTGATAACAGAACTCTCAAATCAATAATGACCGCTGCCCTTTGGCAATGCAATCTTTGTTTGTAATTCAGGAGTGTAAAATACTGCCATTACTCCACAAGTACAACAAGCCTTCAGCGCCTGTCACTACTTCTGTCTGTCCCAGTGGGGGCGGGTCCAAGCTCAGAAGTGGCCAGAATGACGTGCGCTGACAATACCACCCCGGGCCGATGGGGGTGGACGCGGAAGAAGAATTAGCCAATGCTAACATATAGCATTGGCAGACCTCTCAAAAACGTCTTTACAGGATGGTCCAAAAGTTGGCTCTTTACCAAGCCCCAGCGATCCAAGATGGCGCCCTATTCAAATGAATGGTTGTGCTCAGTGGTGCTTTGTGACGGCATGGGGGCTGAAAGATTAGCGGAAGTTGCCTGGAACTCTCAAAGATCTATGGGAAACTCTCAAAGATCTATGGGAAACTCTCAAAGATCTATAGGAAACTCTCAAAGATCTATGGGAAACTCTCAAAGATCTATGAAACTCTCAAAGATCTATGGGAAACTCTCAAAGATCTATGGGAAACTCTCAAAGATCTATGGGAAACTCTCAAAGATCTATGGGAAACTCTCAAAGATCTATGCGAAACTCTCAAAGATCTATGGGAAACTCTCAAAGATCTATGGGAAACTCTCAAAGATTTATGGGAAACTCTCAAAGATCTATGGGAAACTCTCAAAGATCTATGGGAAACTCTCAAAGATCTATGGGAAACTCTCAAAGATCTATGGGAAACTCTCAAAGATCTATAGGAAACTCTCAAAGATCTATGGGAAACTCTCAAAGATCTATGGGAAACTCTCAAAGATCTATGGGAAACTCTCAAAGATCTATGGGAAACTCTCAAAGATCTATGGGAAACTCTCAAAAATGGGACTCTCAAAGATCTATGGGAAACTCTCAAAGATCTATGGGAAACTCTCAAAGATCTATGGGAAACTCTCAAAGATCTATGGGAAACTCTCAAAGATCTATGGGAAACTCTCAAAGATCTATGGGAAACTCTCAAAGATCTAATGGGAAACTCTCAAAGGGGAAACTCTCAAAGATCTATGGGAAACTCTCAAAGATCTGGGAAATGGAAACTCTCAAAGATCTATGGGAAACTCAAAGTCAATCTATGGGAAACTCTCAAAGATCTATGGGAAACTCTCAAAGATCTATGGGAAACTCTCAAAGATCTATGAGAAACTCTCAAAGATCTATGGGAAACTCTCAAAGATCTATGGGAAACTCTCAACGATCTATGGGAAACTCGCCTGTATTTGGGCATCGTCTGGTCCTCCCGGTTCTGTGCTGTGGATGATCTCCCATAATGCATTGCGTCAAACACGCGTGTGTGGGTCTCACACCAGGTCTCACGCACGTGCACAGAGGGTCTCACGCACGTGCACAGAGGGGCTCGGCTCTGACCAATCAGAGCAGTTCATCAGAGCGGGAGTTAGAGCGAGAGTCAGAGGAGCAGAGTTTGTGGCACTAAAGTGTGGATTTAAACAAAACCGAAGGATTTAAGAAGAAAAAAAGTTCAGGATGACAAGGGACACTAAAATCCCCACAAAATACTATCTTTATTAAAGCTGTAGGTTCTCTGTCAGGTTCTGTGTCAGGTTCCCTGTCAGCTGAGGTTGAGCTGTTTTAATTTGCATTGAGTTTTATGGGGAAAATTTCTGGGGTAGCCCACGTGAATTTAGTCTGGTTCAGTCTGCAGTACCGCGAGAATCCCCCGAGCACATGAGTTTTCTTCAGCTACAAGCTGTAATACCCTATCCAGTTATTATAATAGATCCATGGTGCTGACCCAAAGCTCCGTTCCACATGTGTGTCCAATGCTGAGGGGGGTGTTTTGGTCCACTCTAGTTTACTTGCTGTGAATTTTTGAAGTCTCTCGTTCAAATGAACGGAGACGCATCTGCATGCGCAGATGCGTTTTTTCACAATTGTCTTGTGGGCGGACCACTCGCGGCCATTTTGGATTGCTCCAGTAGAGCACATTTTTGGCCCATTAGTTAGAACGGCGGAGATAGGCGTGACTCTGTCCATTAATATATACAGTCTATGGTCTGTGCAGAGAAGTTAGCCGAGCTGGCCACGCTCAATAAACAGACACATATCAACACCATTAACTGTTAATCGGACAGTACAGTACACATACATCCTTAACACACATGCACGGACTGTTTCAGAATTTGGTGTTAACGTTTTCATGACCAAATTACTATTTTAATGTGACAAAAAGTAACATTAACATGAAACGTACATTTCAGGACACATTTGAGGAGGATCTGATGGATTTAGGTTGGGTTTATAAATGGGTCACTCACCGCTGATGTTCAGAATACTTTGTTCAGTTTTCATGTCGTTCCAGAGAGTCTTTGAACTAGCTAGCTTAGCTGTTACCTGCCTAGCACGTCCCGGTGAAACCTTTGGGAGCCAACTATTTTATTTGCAGTCATTAAATACATTAGCTGTGCTACAACTGAGGGATTTTATATTTTTATCTTTCTGTTAATGTTCTGTGATTATTTATGATTTTAATGCTATCTTGTTCAGCACTTTGAGTTGCCTTGTGTATGAATTGTGCAATACAAATAAACTTGCCTTGCCTTACATTTCGAATTATAAGGGCTGTCTAATATTTATTCGAATATATACTTTTAATTTCAGAATTATATTCGAATTTCGAGGCCGAAGCATAGTGTTGAGCAGCGCTGTAGAGGCTAGAGGAGGCTGGTCGTTCTGTGACTCAGCACTGGTCACGGCTTTGTAACTCATACACCGCCAAATCAATGACCTCAAGATTTTACATTAAAAAAAAATTATGGGATTAAGATTAAAAAAACCATAACTCTTTGTATTGTAGGTAAAAATTATAAGGTAAAAAGCCAAGTGGGGGCAATTTTTTATGAGTATTACCAAAAAAAAAAAAAATATTGTGTATTTTGTATATAGCTTCCTTTTTTTAAAAAAAGGTTTAGCTTTGGGTGGAATTCCCACAATCCACCAGGGGACCCCACTTAAAAGGGGGGTGGGGGGGGTGGTGAAAGTGGACAAAATGCTTAAACCCCCACAGCGGCTTCAGAGGAAAGTTTGCTTTCCTTGGTTGGAACGGGTTTGGAGGGCCTTTCCTTCTCTTCTGGTTTCCTGGGGCTTGCTCCTTTAAACTCAGGGGAACGGTTTGTGTTTCCCCACTTTCCCCACCATTTTTGGGGCCTGAAACAAAAAATCTGGTGGTGGGGGTTTTTTTTCTCCTGTGATTCCTGGGGATGGTTTTTATTACATGTGACGGTTTTTTATATTATGTGGACGGTTGGCTTTTTGTTGGCTTTGTAAATTTCCGGTTATTGGAAGGCCATATATACGGGAGAACATTGGGAAGAAAACCCCAATCAACGGGCCCCCCTTTTCCCATTTTGGGTGCTGGGGGGAAAAACCTTTCTTCCCAGGCTTTGGCCTTAACCAAGGCCAACCTGTCTTTAAGGCCAAACACAACATTTTCTTTTGCGGCGGCTAACAACGGCTGGTGGGAAAGAAAAAACTCGTTTTGGATTGGAAAGGCTAATTTGCAAAATGAATGAAACAATTCCAAAATATAATATTGGTTGTAATGGGGCCTTTCCAAAATTCCACAAGCTTTGAGTTCGTTCTCGCCAGGGACTTTACAAAGGGTTTTATGGGGTCGATTCCACACCAAGGAAGGATCAAGAGAGGAGAAATTCCCACAAAAACCGTTTTTCCTTTCAAAAACACCCAAGGAGCGAAAAAAAATTACCCGTAATAAAACAAACCACCCGAGCCTTGGGGTCCAAGAGGGGGGCGGGGGCGGGGGGGGGGTAGGGTGTGGATAACTGGTGGGGGACCCCATTTTGTTAGGACCCCAGTTCCCAGGGGACCAAGGGGCAC